GTAACCTTGAGAAGTCAATGCTGGACCAGGACCAACAGCATTCGAACATAAGCAGGAAATTAGTCACGTGAGCAGACAAAGATCCTGCAAAGTTATTGCACCCACACATCAGCCATTTAATGAGGCCCTCGCAGTATTAAATGCGGCAAACCCTTCACGCTGGAAGAAGCAGACTCACAATGAACGATGTGAGCTAGACTATAGACTTTCGGCCAACAAGACAGTCTAGAATGGATAAGGAAATAATAAGCAAAGAATATAAGGAAGCTTTCAAAATACGTAGAAGGTTAAGTTTTTCATCCCTTGCCTCTCTCTCTCTCTATGATCAATCTTCCCTAACCTAACTTGATCGTCGGAGTGTCCGTTGGGGGATTACCTCCCTTGGACCTTTTTGCAAGCTTGCTTTGAGGACACCAAGGCCAATAGACCCGTTGAAAGCGTGAATTCGCCCGACCCATCCACCATTGAAGTTACAGCATCATCAAAATCTAATCATTCTCTCATTGTCCCTAATAAATTAGGACAAAAATTAATCATAAAACAATATATTATGTTTGAAGTAACGTAGACCAAAGATCGAGAGAACCATTTGATGTTGCAAGAAGCATGCAAGTCGAGAATTTAGGGGTCCTTGACTTTCACACTGTGTTAGAAGTAACGGTGATAATGCAGTTTGGATAAGATCTAGGGTGGGGTTTCTTGACCAAACTAAAGATTTCGATTTTCACCCGTAGTTAGAAGGAAGCCCTTAAAAATAAGGACCACCTCGATTTTGTGGTTCAAAGATTATTGAGTCAGAGATAGTATTGACAAGATTCAACAAGATGAGGCTACTAAGGAGAATTATTGGAAGGAACTTTATCTTAGAAAAGAGTTGTAGAAACAACTAGCAAAGCTATAGATTTTGTAGAAGTAGAGAGCTAGAAATCTATAGCTGAAGAAAGGAAATGCTAATACTAATTTTTTTTTTCATACCACCACTATTATTCCCCGACGAGGTAATGCAATTAATTTATGAAGAAAGAAGATGAATCATACATTCCAAATACATATAAGATTGGTGATGAATTCATTTATTATTGAAACCCAACTATTCAGTACCTCACAGCCTATAAAACAGTGTCAAATAGAGGTTGTGTCAAACCTATAAAACTAAAACCAAACCAAACCAAACCAAACCAAGCCTTAAGTCCCATCAAATAAGGTCGGCTACATGAATCCTTCTTCTCCACGCAGCCCTATCAAAAGCCATTTCATTAGTCAAATTAAGTAGATTCATATCTCTATTTACAACGCTAGCCAACGTTAATCTAGGCCTACCCCGTCTAACACTTCCACCTACTGTTACAGCATCGCATCTCTTCACTACTGCCTCTGTTGGTTTCCGTTGAATATGACCAAACCATCTCAATTGATTCTCGCTCAACTTATCTTCTATCGGTGTTACTCCTACCCATTCCCGAATATACTCATTCCTAATTCTATCTTGTCTAGTCTTACCACACATCCACATTAGCATCCTCATCTCAGCCACACTCATCTTATCTACATGTTTCTTGGTTGCCCAACACTCTGTCCCACACAACATTGTTGGTCTAATAGCCATTCTATAGAACTTACCTTTTAGTCTAGTAGGTATTCATTTATCGCACAATACCCCAGACGCACTTCTCTACTTACACCATCCGGCCTTAATCTTATAGGCCACATCCGCATCAATCTCCCTGTTGTTGTGATAATCGACCCTAAATAATGAAAATGTTCACTCTTAGGCAGTTCTTGGTTCTCAATCTTCACTTCTCATCTACTTTCATTGTTACTATTACTAATTTACACTCCATGTACTATATCTTAGTTCTGCTTATCTGGAATATTTTAGATTCAAGAACTTTTCTCTAAATCTCCAACTTTGTGTTAACTCCTTCTCTAGTCTCATCCACTAGCACGATATCGTCTACAAAAAGCATACACCATGGCACGTCATCCTGAATATTTCTTGTCAACTCATCCATAACTAAAGCAAAAAGATAAGAACTTAAAATAGATCCTTGGTGTAACCCTACAATAATAAGAAATTCATGTGTCTCTCTAGCAGGCGATCTAATAGTGGTCACCAACCCTTCATACATGTCCCTAATCACATCAATATAACCTTTTGGCGCCCCTTTCTTCTCTAACACCCACCATATTATATTCCAGGGTACTCTATCATATGTTTTATCAAGGTCGAAAACACCATATGAATGTCTCTGTTCTTTTCTCTATACTTTTCTATTACTCTCCCCAAAAAATAGATCACTTCCATTGTTGACTTGTCAGGCATAAACTCAAATTGATTCTCTGACACCTTTGTTATATCTCGCAATCGACATTCCATCACCCTCTCCCACACTTTCATTATATGACACATTAGCTTGATTCATCTATAGTTGTTGCAATTCTAGACATCACCTGCATTCTTATAGATTGGCACTAAAATACTCTTCTTCTACTCATTTGGCATGTTTCTAGCCAACAAAATTTTGCTAAACAACCTAGTCAACCAAGCAACTCCCTTTTTACCCAAACACTTCCAAGCTTCAATAGGAATACCATCGGATCCTCAAGCCTTATTTGATTTTGTCTTCTTAAATGCAATCTCCACTTCAAAGTTCTTAATCCTACGATAGAACCTATAGTCTTAGTTTATCGTATTACTGGCTATTTCTTCCCATATTGTCGTACCTCCATGTTCCTTATTTAATAGTTTCTCAAAATAATTCTTCTATCTTCCTTAATCTCTTCATCCTTCACCAATACCTTAGAATCCTCACTCTTTATACACTTAACTTGATTAAAATATCTTGTTTCCCTCTCCTGCATCTTAGCAAGTTTGTGTACCCTCTTCTCTCCCTCCTTACTATCTAGTCTAGTGTATAGGTCATCATAAATTTTCAACTTAGCCTCTCTCACTACTTTCTTGACCTCCTTATTAGTTAATCTAGAGCTCTTAAGGTTTTCCTCAATTCTATCTTTCTGTCACTTTTTAAAGCACTATTTTTTTGCCTTAACTATCGCTTGAACCTCTTCCCTCCACCACCAAGTTTCCCTAGAGCTGGGTCCTGTTCCTTTCGACTCTCCAAGCACTTCCCTTGAGATTCTCCTCATACAATTGGCCATCAAGTTCCGCATAATGTTAGCATCATCTTCCAAGTCTCAAATACCTTCCTTATCCATTCGATTCTTAAATATTTCTAGTTTATTCCCTTTTAGGTCCCACTATCTCATCCTACGACACCACCATCCTTCTTAGCTTGGTATTGCCTTCTAAAACATAAATCTAGTACCAAAATCCTATGTTGAGAGGCCAGACTCTCTTCAGGAATCACCTTATAATCATTGCATTTTAGACGGTCCACTTTTCTCATTAAGAAGTAATCTATTTGGCTCTTAACTGACCCACTCTTAAAGGTTATCAAATGCTCCTCCATTTTCTTATACATAGTGTTGGCCACCACCAAGTTAGAAGCCAACGTAAAATCTAAGATACTCTCTCCAGCCTCATTTCTGTTAGTAAAACCATATCCACCATGCACCATTTCATAGCCTAGTTTATCTATACCTACATGGCCATTAAAATCTCCACCTATAACCAAGTTTTCTTCTATGGGTATCTCCTGTAAGATCTCATCTATTTACTCCCAAAAATCCCTCTTAGTCTGATCATCTAATCCTACTTGAAGGGCATATGCACTAATAACGTTCAATATATTCCCTCCAATAACTAGTTTAACTAGCATAATCCTATCACTTTTCCTAGTGACCGCCACTACACTCTCCACAAGACCCTTGGTAATTATGATTCCTATTCCATTCCTACGTCTATCCTTACCACTATAATACAGTTTAAAATCGGTATCCTCAATTTTCCTAACTTTCTCACCCGTCCACTTAGTTTCTTGTACACAAGCTATATTAACTCTCCTCCTAATCATAACATTTACCAATTTCATCGTCTTATCAGTTAAGTTTCCTATGTTCTAAGTAGATATCCTAAATCTATAGTCTTGGACTAGGTTCTTTACCCGCGCTTGCCCAAAAAAACGCAAGAACCTTTGCCCATTTTTCACCGCACCCAAGTGTCGATGCGGCGCCCCTTGCTTACTTTCCGAAATACCTGGAGGCAAGCGCAACGCATCACTTAAGGGGGAACGACCAAGCATTTAAGCGATTCAAAGTAGGATTCATTGTCATAAGGGGTCCAAGCGGCTTTTTTACGTGTTGGTTGTCGGCTACCTAACACACAACCCTCCTCCTTAAACTGGGCTTTGGACCGGTGGAGTTATTAATAACCCCAGCGGAGTTGTCAAACCTATAAAATTGAGAAAATTAAATCTGATGTCTTTTTATCTGCAACGTAACAAACAAAGCAGTGTCTAAGATCTTTGCAGATCAATTAAAGTTTATTCTTGATTCCTTATTAGCTCCGATATAACTTCTTTTGTTCTGGATGGGCATATGGGTGATGGGACCATTCTGGCTCAGGAGGTCATGGACACCCTAAAGAATAAGAAAGTAAAAGATGCTCTTATGGCGATTAAGGTGGATATGGCTAAAACATATGACTAGGTAGTATGGTCTTCATTAATGAGATTGTGGAATGCTTTGGTTTTCCAGAGATATTTATTCAAAAGATTAGAGAATGTATTTCAACCCCTGGGTAAGAACTCTAGACTCACTAAGCAGCTTAAATCCACATTAATAAATATTTAAAAAAAAAAACAAAAAACAAAACAAAACAAAAGGTGTGCAAGCTATATGTATGTATCTGCAAATGACGTTCATCATGTCACAACAATAAGATTGTCAAAATTATATATATCATCACAACAATAATCACAACAATAAGAGTATCAAAATTATGTCAGCAGTAGACAAGGTAAAACAACACAGACTAAAGCAATATAAATACAACAGAACATATAGAATTAGAAGAGCAAATTGGATTGATTTTAGCTTACCTGTTCGTCTCCTTTTGCTCTTGTTGTCTCTTCCCATCACTTTCACCACCACCGTTGAGAGGAACAAGGCTTCCCACCCACATCTTCACTTGCCACAATTCGTGTCCGACGCAAATCATAACTTGCTTGACCGTCTTCCATTATGGGTCATACCAAAGAAGCCCTTCTGTGTTTTGCCTCATATTCGGGCTGAAACTAACTTAGGTTCACGATTCCTTCACTCCAGAATCTTTCATCACCCATAAATGAACCTCAAATCAAAACCAACAATCAAGCTACCTTTATGGACCTAGGGTTCTTGAGTCACAACCCAATGCAAAGAACCACTGGCTAATACACCACCTACTTGATTCAAATTAGGATAATTAGGGAATTTCTCAGCCCTGTGTCATGAACTTCATAATCAATATAATCATCATCACTCATGTCTTTGAAATCATCACTAGCACTATTATACCCAAATCCATAAATGCGCCTCACATAATACCTAGATAGATTTTGGAACTCAATTAGACCGTTTCGAGTAGATGGGGGTTCCACAAAACAACGCCATTACAAGAAAGCCATACCTGCATGCATACACCGCACATCAAACGAATCAAAATCGACCAAATAGAGGTGGTTGTAGTCTCTCAGATTGGTCTTGGTTTCGATTGATTGATCGATTCAGATGCAACCTATTGAAATCTGAACTGTCGATTAGGGCACCCCAATGCGCAGAGAAGGATCTGAATCGAAGAACCGGCTTCACCGGCAATCGGGACAGTATGTCGGCTAGAGAGAGTATACGATTGAATTGAATGGAATTAGGGTTTGGATTTGAGGGAAGTGAAAACTTGACGATTCGGCGAAGCATAGAATGGGGATTTGGGTTCCTCGCCGTTATATAAGCGTGTTTGTGCATGTGAAGTCAAATGTTGTTTCCTGCTACTCAAACAAAGTGTTTATTATTATTATTATTATTCAGCTTGATTTTCAAAAAACACTTTCTAAAAATTTTTACATTTTTATTTTTAGTATTTTTTTTTGGTTTTAATGAATTTTTTTAATATTTTCAACAATATTTTAAATTTTTAGATACACTTAACATAAATACACTTAAAAAATATAATATTTTTAGAAAAATCTTTAAAAATTTTATTAAATACTAAAAATACAAAAAAATACGAAAATTCAATATATTTTTTTTATATTTTTGTATATTTATTAATTTTTTAAATTATTTTTCACATATATTTTACTATTTAGATACATCTAAATAAGATGTATCTAAAAAAGTAAAAAAATTACTTAAAATTTTAAAAATATTCACTAAAAACAAAAAATATGAAAAACAAAAAACTCAATTTTTAGAAAGCTGAATTCAGAAAACTGAAACCAAACACACTTTATTATTATTATTTAAAATTTGTGGGTAATTTATAATTTCAATTTTTAAAAAAAAAATTGATTGAATTTATTACATAATATATTTTTTTGTCAACAAAAAGTAATTTTGACATTGAAATTATTAAATTTTAAATTTTGAAAAAATATAATTCTATATACAAAATTTGTCAAAATTAGCTTATTACACTTTATTCCTTTTTTAAAATTATCAAAAAAATTCTTAAAATTCTAGTTCTACTTTCTCACCACACCTACCTTTTCACCACAACCTCTATTGGGCACCACCACTGCAACTGTCGCCAGTGACTTTCTTTTCCATCTGTGATGAGCCCCTTTGCCACTTTTGTCACCTCCATTGCCAAACTCCACCGATTTTCCCCAATGGCGACCCCCCTCTGGCGCCACCTACCCCATCATGACCCAGCATACTCCCTACTCCCAGTCCTACTCTCTCTATCGCCACAAAAGAGAGAGAGAGATCTCGAAATAAAAAGAAAATGAGGAAATTGATGGGCCAAGATGGTTGCATTGGTTGAATGTGGCAAGCTGGTTAGTCACTGATGAAAGAGGGACTAGAGGTTGGAATTAATTAGGCATACTGTAGACACCCCATTTTTTACGGCCTTTTAAGACTTGGATGATCTTGCAGGTACATCCAGTGGCGAGTTTGATTGCTCATTGAGTGCTTGAAGTCCACGGCAAAACGCCACAGGTTTAAGTTTTCTAAACCCTACATCCTTTTTGCCTCATCTTTGGACCATGCTTAGGTCCTTTCAGATTGAGGTTGGTGATGGCCTGCTGGCCATTTTTTAGGGCTGCCAGCCATGGCTTTTGGCCTGTCGGCCATTAATCTGCCTGGCCGACCACCAGTGTTCTAACAGATATTTTGTGATATTTTGTGCCAACTGTTTGCACAGATTGATATATCTTCGAACACATGTGTAGCTGGATCTTTGTGAAGGGAACTTGTATTTTCTATATATATGACCCCTCTCTTACATATGAGGGGGTTAGAAAATTTTGAAGACAAAAATTCTCTTTTCTCTCTCTCTAGAATTTCCTCTCTCTTGTTATTTTGTGCCTTAAGTCTAGTTTCTCTACACTTTTGCACATCAACCCTAAACCAAGCACTCTCACCTTGGAGCTGAGGTCTCTTGAGGTCCTTTTTGAGCTTTAGAAGTGGATTTGGGCTGATTTAGCTTGTTTTGTTGCTCTAAATTGCATCTTGTCTTCAAGAGGTATAACACTTGTGTTTTTAGCTTCTTTTAAATACTTGTTTTGCCATCTTTACATGCTGTTTTTAAGCTGGTTTTGACCTCCAAAAATCTCTGTTTTTATGGTTTAAAAATGTTAGTTTAAGGCCCTTTTTGAGTTAGGAGTGGTTCACCCTTTTGCTACTTAGTTTGTTAAGCTTTTGTGCCTCTTTTCAAAGCTTTTAAATCAATTTTTTTTGGCCTTTTAACCACTGAATTTTAGAGGATTTTCAATGGTAACAACCTTGTTTTGAAATTCAAAATTAGAGAGATCAGCTTCCCCTCCTTGTGTCTTGTTTGCATGTCTAGATAACTTTACATGTTAGCATGTTTTTTTTTTGTTTTTTATGGCTTAAGTCCAGTATGTTTTTGCCTCTGAAATAACCTATTTTGGCCCTGTTTTGGGCTGGTTAGTTCAGTTGAGGCTTGTTTTGCATAGTTGTAGTGTAATTTCCTTTACTAGCTTAATGTTTCTAGGCTTTTAGCATCATTTGTGTGTCTTGGTTGCATGTTTTAATGCTTTTTCATACCTAATTCCAACACTTAAAATCTCTACAACCTCCCTCTTTGCTTCACTCTTTCATTTGCTTTTGAGAGTTGTTTCAACCTTAGGGTTGTTTAAGCCTAAGGTTGAGGCTCATGCTTAATGGTTTAATCCTCTTTTGAGGGTTCATTACCAACGACATGAAGCTTCCCTTATGCCTTGAACTACCCCTTGGTTGACACTTCTTTCACTTTAGAAAACACTCACCCAATGGACTAAATGGATTAAAGAATGAATCGGTAATGTAAAATGAGTAAACAAATTAGACAAGTAAAAGAGGCAAGATAAGCATCTTTGTGTTGTATTACATGTGTTCAAATTGGATGTTAGTTTGAACACAAGGTAAATGGGACATTTCATACTCAAAAGTGATGAAATGTGCCATTTTCCTTGGTCTCCATTGCCCTTGATCATGCATGATAGAGTGGTGGTCCTTCGAGTCTTATTTGTGCATTTTTTAAAATTGTACAACTTGAATCTTTGGCCATCATGCAATGAAATTGTTTGATTGGTGGTTTTAGATCCAAGATTGTCACTCCATTGAGATTTTGAGATGATAAGGAGGGGTACAATACAAACATACCCTTGGAAAGACCTTTCTTTTGCTCTGTCTGTGTTCTGTTGCAATATGGAGACCTAGAGCATCAGTGGCCGGCAAGGCCTTATCCATGGCCGGCAGTGCCTCATTGTAACAACCCCGACCTCTGATTAATGTTAATCCACGATTAAGTATGCCTAATTAGTAATTAAGGAAAAATTATGCATTAAATTGCATGTGTGTGTTGCATTGTTGTGTTTATATCTGTTAGGTGTAGGAAGATCTGTTCGCGTCCTAGTTTCGGTTTGCGAATTGAAAGCTTTATCGACGACCGATTCAGAAATTGTTTTGTGTTATGTGTTAATTAGGATTTATGTGATTTTATGGCGGTTTAATTAAAATCCAATTTGGAATGATTAAATTAGATTAAATAATGCTAGACCAATTGAATATAGATTAATTGAATGTAAGTTAATTACATTAGTTTGAATTTATTCCATTGTTGCCATTAGTGGGCACTTTCTAAGGCATTAGTTGATTTCATGTTTGGCACTATCATTTTATCATTTCCTCAGACCAAACTGTGAGAGAGAAGGTGCATAGGGGAAAACTGAATTCATCTAGGAATTTTGCTTGAATTTGGAAGGAATTGAAGAAACTTTGAAGAATTGTTCATTTGCTTAAGAGCCTTGCTTAAGTAAAGCTTAATTGAAAAGCCTAGGTCACGCGCCGTGTACCGTTTGACCAATCTACTCCGTCTATCTGTCTCAAGGCCAACTGTCACGCGTCGCATACCGTTTGACCAATCTACTCCGTCTGTCTGTCTCAAGGCCAACTGTGAGTAACAACTTAGTAAAGTTATGTTCAATTGTATTTATTTTCTATGTGATAAAATAACATCTGTTTTCTAATGTGCTATATTTTGTACAATGAATGAATATCCTATTTCTGATATGTATTCATGGCATCCTTAGCATCATGTGATATGTGTTGGTTGTTACGCGGTATCGGAGGTTTCATCATGGAACTTAATCTGTCTGCACTCTGTTACCTGTACCGGAGGCTCCATTATGGGGCTCAACATGTTTATTCTATATTACCCGGATCCGGAGGTTCCTTTATGGAACTGGTTATTCGTAACCCTCACGTGTCTGCATCTGTTCTGTATCTGGTCTGTTAGTGCTTATGGATGTGCCACGTATACTTACGCATAACTTATGATTTCTGTATATAATCTGGATAAATTATGAATTTGATACGAAACTGAATTATGAATTCTGAATCTATACGAACTCATTCATTAAAACCCCTTTACTCTGTTATTGTTCACTGAGCTTTCGCTCACAGTTTATATTATGTATGTAGGTGAGCTGGCGCATGATCAGGGCCAGAATTGACGGCCTTCATTTCCATTTTGTCAGCCAACCGTTGTGCCTCCTGAGGAGGTTCCGATTAAAGTCTAGTTATATGGCTGTTTTTGTACTTATGTTAGTCTCTGTCTGTTTTGTACAGTTGGGTCTTGGATATTACACTCTTGTAAATGTTTTGTAATTATGATATCCTTCAACCGACACGCATATGTATATACAAGTTTTGGAATATTCTGTCCCATGTTTATCGACACAGCTCATTAGACCATTTATGTTTTTGTACATTTGCTTCCGCAGCCCCTTATTATATGCTTATTTGTTAAGAAGCCTTTGGTAATCCACAGATTACTGACCGGTTACGATGCTAAACCTACAGGGGCGGGTTTGGGTCATGATAGAGCAGTATCAAAGCACGTGTTCTACCGCATACACAGGTCTATATGAGCTTAGGATGTCTTAGTAAGAGTTAGGGGCATTCCATCTGCATGTGTGAGTGTGTGGTAATCCAAATGAATATGAAAACTGAATGTAAATTTGAGCAAATGAATTGAAATAAACAAATAAGATTATGCCTATGTTTATTATCATTTGATGTCTCTATAGCAACATGGAGAATGCAAAGGGAAGTGATGTAAATGAATCGTCAGAGGCTCGCATGAGCCGAATGGAACAAATGCTTGCAGCATTAACTGAAACTATGACGCAACAGCAAAGACAACAACCTTTGCCCCTTCCACCTCCGCTGGCACAAGCCGAAGCAGATAATAATGACATCATCAACTTGACACAGAAATTCATGAAAATGAAACCGCCGTCATTC